AATTCCCAATTTTGAGTATTATCTGCAAAAAAAAAAAAAAAAAAAAAAAAAAAAAAAAAAAAGGATTGCTTTAGCATGAGAGTTTTTACTTTAAAAAGGTAATCCAATTGGTTGAAAGTCAGAAAGTTGATCCTTATTTGCCAAACAGTAATTTTGAAGGAAGTTGAACTTCAGTTGTTTTGAAAAAGCAACTCATCCAGGAACAATTAACCGAGTATGTAATCACTAAAAAACAAACAGCAGCCTTTAAACTCAACTTCCCAGTAGAACCTTATTCCCTAAAGAACTATGCTGATGTGACAAAGGAAAGAAATTCTTCCAGCAATGGAATTTAAATATCAGTAGCATTATGGAACTTATATAACTACACAATTGAACTACAGGAGATGATTGTATATCCATACAAACGGGAAGCTCAGCTGTATACATACACAATGTCAACTGTGGACCAGGCCACGGAATTAGCATCGGAGGACTAGGACGTGATCAAACAAAAGCATGTGTTTCCAATGTTACAGTCCGTGACGTCAAACTGCAGAATACAATGAATGGGGTCAGAATAAAAACATGGCAGGTATATAAAACCTTACCCCTCTATATTTTCTCCAGCATGGTAATAAATGTATGAGAGTAAAAACAGGGGAAAAAGGCATCAACAAACCCTTCTTTATTTAAACATAGTTTTCCCTGTTGTTTGTTAAAAAACTCCCTTTCTCAAACAAAACATAATTTCTTGCTGAAAGTAATTTTCAACAGCTAACAAAGGGCCATTTGACTTTCCCATTGCAGGGGGGTTCAGGTTTAGTACAGGGAATACTGTTCTCAAACATTCAAGTTTCAGACGTTAAAACTCCAATAATGATAGACCAATACTACTGCGATGGGGGTAGCTGCCATAACGGATCTTCTGCAGTAGCAATTTCAGGGGTAAACTACGTAAACATAAGAGGAACATACACTTCAACGCCAGTCCATTTAGCTTGCAGTGACAGCCTTCCATGCACAGGTGTGACATTAGACACCATTCAGCTTGAGGGGAGTGGCCGCTCCAACGAACCATTCTGTTGGAAGGCATATGGTGAACTGAAAACCTCCACTGTCCCTGCCATTGAATGCTTGCAGTCTGGAAATCCAGGGAAAGCTCAGTCTCACAATTCTTGCTAAGCTCAGCAGCTAAAGATTAAATAGATTACAGAAAAGAAAAATTCACATCGTAAACTGCTTAGAAACAGAAGAAAAAACTATGGTATACTGCTTAGAAAAGAATTGCTATATGCTGCAAAAAGGGGTCCTATAGATAGAGATATTCAGTCACTGATGAAGAGTTGGGAGAGAATTTTACGCGGTGTAGGCTGCTTGGATATAGTAAGATTAATTTAGATACGATATTGTTTGCTACAGAAATGGTCCTTGCTCATGATTCATCATTCATGCATAGTAAGATAAATTTATACTTTTATAAACCACCTGAGTAAAAATTCCACGAATTCAAAATTCCACACTTCTTCGTGAAATGATTAGCACAGAAATCACCTAATTACCAGATTATCGTCAAATAAAACGAAAAAAATGACACGAACAACTGATAAAAACTTATATATTACATCGAACCTTTCGTCCATGGCTTCTACAGATTATCACCAAGTGGATCAAATCGCTTATTGTTCGCTCTGATGACTAGCTCCGAATATTCCATAATGGCGGCCACAAATATCAAAATCAACAGCTTAAAACTAACATTACTATTATGCAATCAATATGAGCTAAAAGTAAGAAGACAAGAAACAGTATTACGAGTTGCAATATGAAATTCAAGGACTAAGTTTACGGTACGTCGTCTAGTAATAGTTTGACGGAGAAGAGCTGAAAACCTTGCTCGTGGAGGAAAAACAGCTCAGCCGGCGGACATGGAGTGGGAAGGAAAGTCCACGGCGTTGGAAGAGGAATTAAATCTGAAGATCATAGCCGCTAAACATGGCGGATACGGCCATGGATGACAGAGAAGAGGCAGAGCTTTCAAGATTTCAAGACTCTCTCATTTTGTTTATGTAATTTTTAAATTATGTATATTTATTCAATTACAAATTATAAATCTAAAATAGAAATTTAAAAAATATTTAATAACCATTTAAAATTAATTATCCTATTAAATTTAATTAGAAAAAATTACGATGGGTACATTTTGGAAGGCAGTTATGGAAGAAATAGGGGATGTTTAAAACGGCGTCGTTTCCATGTTCCCTTCTCTCCACGTTGGAGCGTATTTTCGCTCTACATGCAAAATTTGATAAATAAATCTGAAGCCATTAAGAAAGGAAACTACGGAACTGGGAAGCTCTCTCTCGCATCCATTTCTACTCTCAGATTTCTCACGAATTCGAGCGGTAATCAATTTTCATATCCATCGCTTTTCGTTTTCCATTTCTCCAGATCGGTCTCGCATGATCTCTGGAAGATCTTTTGTTGATCTGAAGTTGTAGATTTACGAATTCATTTTTCTGGTAGATTGCGAATAGTTTTCGTAACATTAGAATAATTGTTCGTTTTTGTGGATTTTCGATTTACTTTTACGTGATTTGTGAAGATATTTCACACTTCTCGATGTTTGGATATGTTTTGTTGGATGCCGAATCGATGTCATGTCTGTCGTATTGGGAATCACAGTGTATTTTGAATTACAATTGCATGGTTTAGATGTCATTAGAGGTTCGGCTGCGGCAAAGTGTTTTGGAGATTTTAATTTATTCGGTTGTTCGTTGCGGTTTTCTTTTTTTTCTGTCGCTTCTTCTTTGTAGGATGTTGTTTTGATTCATGATAATTCATTGGGTGTTCGTAGCTGGAGATCTATTTGTTTCGTATCCTGACAGTTCTAAATGCTTGATTTCTGATTTTAAGTTATCTTGCCTGCCAGTGCCGTGATTGTTGCCCTTAGAGGGAAGCGGAAATGGGGTTGGCCTTTTCGAAGCTCTTTGGTAGGCTTTTTTCCAAGAAAGAGATGCGCATTTTGATGGTTGGTCTTGATGCTGCTGGTAAGACCACGATCTTGTACAAGCTGAAGCTAGGAGAAATTGTGACCACCATTCCCACCATCGGTGAGTCTTTATACTATAAATTACAGTTTATATGGAACTTTGGGGATTGAGAACTCAGCTGCAGAATCATCTGCCTTAATGGTTTATTGAATCCTAAGAGAACGAGAGCTATGGCAATTAACTCTTTAACGGCTGTCATTTCGAACCAGCAGCATTAGTCTTGCACAGAGGGTTCCAAATTCCCATTGCCGAGAATCTTCGATTACAGAACTATTGCCGACACTGGTCATAATACCACAAATCCAGTGTTTTCTCTGCCAGCTAGTGGCAAAATTGACGCTAAAAACTTTAGATTCATCCAACCATCTACATCTAATCTTAGACAAAAAAACAGGTAAATAAAAGGAAGATCACCCTGCATCAAGTAGGAAAAGTAACATATTTAGGACTGGAGATTTATATGTTAGTGTCTGTTTCAATTTGCAAAGAGAGAATTATTGAACTATGACATAACTTTATGCAATTCCCGTCCCAAAGGTAAAATTCTATGATCCTCACCCTGCAATTGATGAACTAAAAAAATTAACTTGATGTAGTTCTATGGCCTAAGTGAAATTATTTCTCAAGTCAAGAAATTTAATTAGGAGTTTAATTAGAGATTCTTTAGTTCAGATAACCTGGATGCTGAAGGTTCAAACCTAAGTTCATCCGTGTGGGACAAATATCTCACGAATTTTGTACCCTTAACATTCCTAATTATCAAAGGTTTTAGGGTCTGTTACTGGTCTGCAATTTTCAAGCTCATTGAGGTCAACAAATGAGATTAAATACTCTGGTTTTATATGGTTGTTGTGGATCATAGTATCTTTTGAATTCTCACTTTTGGGTTTCATAAGCATACATGGATTTTCAGGCATTGAATAAATGGTGTTGTTTGTGATATATTTATGCCTCTGCCCTATCTAATTTTAGTCCAACCCATGTCTTCCTTCAGAGCATTATAATTGTTTTTTAATGTTTAACAATTGACATTGTAGGATTTTATTAAAATCCATCTCAGGGAAGTTGTAGACGTAAGACTCAATTATTTTCTGCAGGATTTAATGTGGAGACTGTAGAATACAAGAACATCAGCTTTACAGTTTGGGATGTTGGTGGTCAGGACAAGGTATGCATCTCCCTCTTCCTGTATGTGTGTGAAAGAAGCGAGACTGATCCTGCTTTTCACTATATTTAAGAGACGAACAGTTCATTTATTTTGAATTTAATATTAATAAAGAATTTCACTGTTTTAGTTATTTTTTCTCCTAATACGCTCATAAAGTGGTTGTTGCCTTCGTAAGTTGTTATTTTTAGTTTCTTATTCTAATGTTAATTTAAAGCAGAAAATGCCTATTTACAAGATTCGAGGGTTGAAGCATTTCATTTGTTGTTTGATATGTGAAACTCCGTAACATAAAATCATAATAAATTTGAATGAGCAGTTACCAATTATTGATTCTAATTTGAAATACTGCAGCATGTTGATCTTTTTCTCTTTATTCATTCATAAAATATATTTTTGTATTATCAAGCATAAATACTTACATTTTCTAGGATGAGAATTGTGCATGAACATAACTGGATAGTCGCTGGGGCATTTAAAGTTTTTTTCTTATGTTTTATATGTTCATACGTTCTTTAAGTTAAAAAATAATGAAGAAACTGTTTTGAACTATTATGTTTAAATGAATTTTGACTGATGTGGTTTCGTTTGGAAGATCCGTCCTCTTTGGAGGCATTACTTCCAGAATACACAGGGCCTTATTTTTGTTGTGGATAGCAATGATAGGGACCGAGCCGTAGAGGCAAGAGATGAGTTGCACAGAATGTTGAATGAGGTATGTTTGTAGCTGTTTTTATCTTTTCACCCTGCATCCTTGCTGCTGTATTTTATTTTCTTCTAGTATTCAATTGGTACATTTTGTGGTTTCACATAAAATGCTGAATCGGGTTTCATTCATGTAAGACCACAACTTGAAGGTTAATGTATATGTTAACTAAAATTAGACAATAAGATTAATACCGTTCTGTTTTCCTGAATCATTTAGTATTTTCTTCCATTATGATTGTAGCCTGATGGGGGTATTTTACATTTAATGGTTGCAGGATGAGCTTAGAAATGCTGTTTTGCTTGTATTTGCTAACAAGCAAGATCTTCCTAATGCCATGAATGCTGCAGAAATAACTGACAAACTCGGTCTTCACTCCCTTCGCCAGCGCCACTGGTAAATAACTTTCTTTTTCTCACCATATGATGTCCTCATCGACTTGTCACCTAGAACATTAAGTGGAAGCAATTGCTGAATCGTGATCTAATTATACTCTTTCATTTGTCAATTAATTGGACTGCTTACTATACTCCCGCATTAGTGAGTTTGAACCAGACAGAAGAAAGTTGAAAAAGAATATTTTCAAGTTTTTTTTTTTTTAAGTTGCTAGTGAGATGATAATGTTTAAGCGACTTATTTTACACATTATCCATTCCAGGTACATCCAGAGCACCTGCGCGACATCTGGAGAGGGCCTGTACGAAGGTTTGGACTGGCTTTCCAACAACATCGTCAGCAAGGTAAATGCACCTTCCCATTTGATCCCAATCTTAACTTAATAGGAATTCCTTTTTGCTGGTGAGTTCTGAATTTCTGTGCTTTGTTTCAAAATTTATTCACTTTTTTACTTTGTATTCTACTTCGGTCCCCCCAACTTCCAAACTTTTCTGTTTTTATCCTGAAAAATTGCACGATAGCTATTGAAGTCCTTGCTTTTAACTTTTCATGGACTAGTTAATAGAAATCTTGATTCAGTTTTGTAATCTGACGCCTAATTCATACATATAGCTTCAAATATTTGTCAATTACCTCGAAAATTAACAAAACACGCCCTTTTTTACTACTGACTTCTAAATTTCTGTGCATGGTTCCAAAAATTTTCTTCCATCTTCTAACTTTTAAACTCGTTCTATTCTAGTATGCCCTGTTTCATAACCGAGTTTTCTGCTTCTAAGAAATGTGCCTACTCGATTTCTATAGTATGTTTACACTATTTTTACAGTCAAAATTCTAGAGACAAAACCAGATCTTTTAAAAACAGTCTCAAAATTTTCATTCTAATTCCAAAAAAATTGCATATAGAATATTTTAGTCGTTCATCGGTTATTTATTAGAGTTCTCGATCCAATTTCGTAACTTCCTGCATGTAGCTTTAAATACTTGTCTACATAAACAAAATATATGTGACACTAGTTTCTATTAAACAAATTTTCTAAACTTAACTATAAGGATTGATGTTCTTTTTCTTGTCAGAATACTTGGATTAATGCAAAATTAGGTATTAAAACAGAAGAACTTGAAAGTTTGTATTAACAAAAGTAAGATTTAAACTTTGTTATTGAGTCATTTGCTCTCCCTTTCTCCTCAGGCTTGAGAGGCGGTTAATGATTTGGTTGCTCAGGACTATGTTCAGAGTCCATTCTGGAATGGATAGTTTTGTTTTTCTGTTTTCAGTGGTTATTGTTATAAATAGGGAAGGAAGGTTCCGCCATACACATGCTTACTCGGGATACTTTGAGCCACACTCTTGGCTTTTAAAGCTTCATTCTTTTATTACTTTTCATTTAATTCCAATTTCAATATTTTTGTCTGATCAATGTTCTTGTGGCACAAGAAGGTATATTTTTGGCATCTTGAGCATATACTTATACCATGACAACCTTGTTGTTCCACCGGACGTGGGAAATATCTCACAAATGGGAGATGATTGATTTTGTTAGCTTAAGTTTTTAAATTTTATTTACGGCAATTTCATTTTAAATTATGCGTTTTGGTCTCTATAACACGTTTTTTTAAATTAATTTTGTTTAAAATTTTTTAAATAGGAGTTGAACTTGATTTTTTTGAAAATTAATTTTGTTATATTGTTTTTTTTTAATTCAATTACAAATAATTTATTGGGCTGGAAATTTTAAATCTTTGTAGGTGGCGAAAGTATTTAGTGAGCATTGAAAAATTACTCTTTGTAGAACTTTTGTTGAAGATTTTTGAGACTAAAAGTTTTGTATTTAGTTCATACCAGTAACGTTTATACATTAAATTTATTAAGGTTTTTTTTTTTTTTTTTGTGAAAATTATTAATAAGATTCAATATTACCTAAATTACTGACCCAATTGAAGGCTATAAATCGAAATTGTTAATTGTTTTTAATTTTTGATGGAATTATTAAGCATCTAGAATTAAATTGTTATAAACTTAAAAGCATACCCACCCACTTATTACATACTATATACAAAATTATTAGTTCAAAGTTCTATTCATAATTAGGGGTGTTCATATGATCTGAGAATCTGACCAACCCAAATTATCTAATCCAAACCATAAATGTTGAACTGAGTTAGATTTTGTTTGGTTTGAGTTTGATTTAATTTTCTAAAAATAAAAAATTCTTGATTTGGGGTTTTATACCCAACCTAATTTTAAGATTATTATAAAAATTAAAAATGTTTGAAGTTTGCCATCCCACTTCTTTGCAAAATATTTGATATTTTAGTTTTTATTAAACGTGGTTATTAATGTGATGGTAGGTTCTTGGTACCATTAAGTTCATTCACTCTGCGGCATGCCACTTGTCACAATCTCAAAAGTCAACGTTCAGTCGTACGGCTGGATGAACAAAGTTGGCTTAGAAGATAGGTTCAGTTGTAGTCGAGTGTTTTTGTTCATTCAGCAAAAGTATTTAAAAAAAAAAAAAAAAAAAAAAAAGAAAAAGAAAAGAAAAGGTACGATCTCGTGACCCCTTTCCCTTCCGATCTGTCTCCTGAAGTCCCCAAAATCGAGAGGTAAACTCTACTTTGCCTCCATTTTTCTTCAACTTTCAAATTCCATTCTGCAGGACTTCTCTTCCAGATCTCAACTGATCTTTAACACACGGATTCATTTTATTCGTTTTCTGGTACATCGCGAAATCTTTTTTTATCTTCCTAGTAGTTTAAATATATATATATATCTGTATTGGTTTTCATATCTGCTATAGTGGAAATTACCCTTGATCGGTTTGGATCTTCTCATTGCTGATTTGGATGTCATCAGAGAGGACAAAGTGTTAAGGGAAAATGAACTTTTATGATGATTATTTGTGGTTCTGCTATTTGCGTGTTCTCTTTAGGTCGCAATCTTCTATTTATGATTTATGATAATCGTTAGGAGTTTGCCTTGGAAGATCTCTTAAATCCATGTCAAGACAAGTTGAAAACTAATTTATCATGTTCATTTTCTAATTTTGAATGTTATTGCTCGCGAGTCCAGTGATTGTTGCCCATAGAGGGAAGCAGAAATGGGGCTGACCTTCACGAAGCTCTTCAGCAGCCTCTTTTCTAAGAAAGAGATGCGCATTTTGATGGTGGGTCTTGATGCTGCTGGTAAAACCACGATCTTATACAAGTTAAAGCTCGGAGAAATTGTTACCACCATCCCCACTATCGGTGAGTCTTCATAAAGCGCAGATTTAATTGCAACCTTTTTGAATTTCTCTCTGAGTCCTTGGAATTGTTGTTGAGAATTTTGAACCGAGAGAGGATTTAAGTGGGAAAATTAGATGAAACGGAATGCATCAATGTTTTAACAACCTCGTTTGGAGAATAGAGCCCATTCTTGAATTCCTCTAACTTTCTAGGAGCTATTGAGGTTTGTTTTTTTTGAGGTAACCCCACCGCTGCTTCATCCTTTTGTTGCTTGCCAGCGGAGTAATGTTTTAATCCGAGCTTGAAAGTCCTTCTGACCTTTTTGATCCGTCCTCGGGGGAGCTATGATATTATCCTTGCTTTTGCTGCTGAGCTCCTATCTCCCTTTCCATTTTTCTTGAAAGCTTAAGTATTTCCAAGATTGAGCTGTAGTTTGATAATGTGTCCTGTGTATCCAACCAATGACCTAAGGCGATAACCTTGATCCGCATCGTCGTTACCTATAAAGCCAATTGAAAAGAACTTCTGTTCAATTCCGCATTTAACACTTGATAGAGTAAATAATTTGAAATAACCCAATAGCTTTTTAACTGCCATAGTTTAGATCACCGAGAGCCAGGGAGAGAGTGTGAGCATTTTCTTTTTTGCGTAGTTTCACTTGCAGTAGTCCCTCTCCCCTCTTTATAGTTTAAGTGACGATTTTCTTCAAAGCATTGCAGTTGTTGCATAAGAATTCTCACCAGACCATTGCATAAATTTCACAAATATACACACGTTAATTGACGCTTTTCTTCAGGATTTAATGTGGAGACTGTAGAGTACAAGAACATCAGCTTTACCGTTTGGGATGTTGGTGGTCAGGACAAGGTATGAATACCTCTCTGTCTCCCCCCTTCCCTTCTACGTTTGAGGCTTAAAGGAAAATAGTTCATTTATTTTGAAATATACACATGGTTCATTAATTGCTACATCGAAAGTTTCTTGTTTTTTTGGGGTAATCTGGAGTTTGTGAAGCACAAAAACTTTAGTTTAGGTTAATGTACATGTTTGTCTCGTTTCAGATACTCCAGTACTTTTGATATGTTGGACATACACTAAATACATGTTTTACACCAGTTGAACAAATTGAATATGAGTTTGAAACTTGAGGAGCGCATATACAATCAGCACAATAAAAGCATGTTGAAAACTCTTTTGACGAGTTGACAATTATTAGATCCTTGAACCAAAGTACTCGAACTTTTATTTATTTATTTCATCTCACTTAAGTGATGGGCATAAATGGAAATATAAGACAAAAACTGTAAATTTTGAGACGTACAAATAAAGTTAGAAGTATTATAGACTTAATTTCTTTTTTGTTTTGTATTTTTATAATTATAATTATCTGTTTTTGTTAAGATGTTAAATCATTTAGAAAATTGAAGTTGGTTTTGATGTATCTTGAATATCTATCTTGACATAAGATATAATATCATATGTAAGTATCATAAACTAAAACAAAATTTTAGCATTAGAATCGTTTAAATGCATAGAAATAATTTATATTTTTAAAACACATATTATAATAATGTACGCCTTGCCATGTCTATGTCTTATAATCTTAGAAAATAATCTGTCATCGTGCGTATGTTGTGTCTTTGTCTCGTATCTATGTTTGTGCTTAGCATAAATCAGATTAATTTTTTTTTTTTATCAATTTTTAAAAAACGGTAAAGTGACTCAAATTTCAAAATTTAAAGGGCTTATACGTTTTAGTTATTAAATTTGGATGCAGAAAATATTTCTTGGTTGAACTTTGAGAAGACATTCCGCCACAATATTATTTATAATTTATTTTATTTGATTCTTGTATATCTCATTCTTGTGAACAGAAGAGGAGGATTGGTATTCATGTAACATCCCAGAGTTTGCACTCTCTCCATTTTTTGCAATTTTTTTTTTATCCTTTATAACACGAATCTTGTCTAAAGTGACGGTAAAATATGCATTTCTCCCCTACGAAATGGATACACAGTATGGTTAATGTTCTTATTCTATTTACTAGACGTTAAATGATACACTTTTTGCAATGTCGGAAATAAGATATGCATATATGTGCAGGATATAAAGAATTATGCATCAAGATAAATGAATGCGAGCTTTAAGTAATCAGGCATCAGTTTAGGCCTTTGCTTGTGCCTCTTATGTTCGTGAGAAAAAAAAAAGTTGTCCAGAATTGTTGTGATTCTTAAATTTTGACTGTGATTTTTTTTTTTTTTTGAAAAGATCCGTCCACTTTGGAGGCACTATTTCCAGAATACTCAAGGCCTTATTTTTGTTGTGGATAGCAATGATAGGGACCGAGCTGTTGAGGCAAGAGATGAGTTGCACAGGATGTTGAATGAGGCACGTTAATACCTGTTTATATCTTTCCACTCTACATGTTATTATTGCATTATTTAATTTCTATTTATGATTCACTCGAACTTTGATATTCTTTTGCTGTTTGCACTTTGTTTTTACTATATCCTTTTTCGTGAGTACCTTTGTTTTAGTTTATAGTTTTTGTGACTTTCTCTCACGGGGTAGTGAATAGCGTAGCAGGCTTAGCTCATATGAATATGTTTATTATAGTTTCGTGATAAGATCTTCAATATAGTTTCAAGCTTCCAAACAAAATAGTTTTGTGCATGGGTATCATAAATGTATCAAAATTCAACACAGTTTGAGAGTGCGGCGGGGCAAGGTTGGGGTTGTACTTGTCGTGGCAGTGATTTCTGCAGCTACTGCGGCAGTGGGATTAGTGGTTGGAGTAGAAGCACTGGACTGGCCAAGGGTAGCGGAGGTTGCACTTGCAACCAGTGGATACTCTGTTGCTAAGTTAGGGTGAGAAAGGAAAGACTGGCTGGCACCGATATTTTGGAGGCTCAATGATCTTGGAGTGAGATTTTTTTTTTCTATATATGCATTGAGATACAATCTGAGAGAGCCAGGATAAGGCTGTGTAAACAGAAGCAATGAAGAGACAGGAGAAACGGTGGGCCAGTATATGAAGCTTAATATGTCTACAATGAAAGGGAGTGCAGAGTTACCATTAATTATGAACTACAATGTAAAGATTAATGTATATGTTGCCTAAAATTAGACGTTAAAATTAACATCATTCGGTTTTCCAGTATCATTGGCATTTTCAGCCATTTATGAGTACAGCCTGATGGAAGTATTACGCATTCTAATGGTTGCAGGATGAGCTTAGAGATGCTGTTTTGCTTGTATTTGCTAACAAGCAAGATCTTCCAAATGCCATGAATGCTGCAGAAATAACGGACAAGCTTGGTCTTCACTCTCTTCGTCAACGCCACTGGTAAATTACTTGCTTTAGTCTCCTGTGGGACATCTTCATTGATCAGATCTGGTGAACAGTATTTCTTTTGTTAACACCTGTAACATTAAGCGAAAGCGTTTTTGAATGATGGTCTAAATTGAAGTTTATTGATACATTTTCCCTAGTCATTTACACAACTATTATTATCCTGAAGTTGGAAAGAAATGATAAAAATGTTGCTCCAACTCTTTCCAGATACTGAAGAAAGTTGAGATAAATGTCTTTTTGTTTGATCAGAGTCGCTTGGGCTACGATTAGTGTACTCAGTCTACCTTGTGTTATGTTCCAGGTACATTCAGAGCACATGTGCGACATCGGGAGAGGGCCTGTACGAAGGTCTCGACTGGCTTTCCAACAACATTGCTAGCAAGGTAACCACTTCTTGAATTAAATCCAAAAGTAATTTTTTTGCGGGTTCTGAGTTTCTTTGCATGAGCTTATACTTCCTTCACCTATTTTTCTTTTCATTCTAATCAAACGTAACAAACACAAAGGATTTCTGGGGTGTGCATGTATATTTGGTTTGTTTTCCTTCTTTTAACTTGTGAAACCCCTGCACTCTTCAGGCTTGAAGCGGTAAATGATTTTGATGGTTGTTCAGGCATTTGTTCAGAGTTTTTGTTACTCTGGGACGGATAGTTTCATTTGATTTCAGTGATTATCTTAGTTGGGAAACATTTGGCTATACCTTAAGATGTACTCCAAGTTTTAATGGCTGATTTAAGCGCGTATAGACTCCTTAGCTCCTAGAAGTCCATTATTGTACTGTTTTCCAGTTAATACCAACTCCTATTTTTATCCGTTCAATTTGATTTTGAACTGCTATGTTTGGTGTGCCACATGAAACATTATTTGGTTGTCTGGAAAGATCAAATTCCCCTTAGAAAGGATTTCCGTCCCCTTTTGTGAACCTGAAACGTTTAGATCACTCAATAACCCATGTGGTTAGAGGGAAAGACTCCTTGAACTGGTGGAGATCTGTTTTTAAGTCTTGTACTTCAAAAAATTGTTGAGTTTCAAATATCTTCAAATATCTATGCACCTAACCTAGGGAAAAGCCTTTGATTTGACATAGAGACGTCTAAGGGTAGTCTTTGAAGTATACGAAGGATTAGTTAAGGAGAAATTCTGCAAGGGATGTTCTTACCATGAAAACATTACCCAGAGGTTATATAAAATGACAGTTATTCCTTTAGTCTTACTCCTTTACTTTAACTTCAAGCAAGTCAGATTTTGTGTTTTCTTTTAGTTATGGGATGGTTTGAATTTTGTGTTTGCTTTTATCTTAAGAAATATGGTTTAGTAATGCTCATGCAATGGAAGATGGGTGATGACTTCCTCTTGAGAAGTGATTGAAAGTGAAAAAAATGTTGCTTGAAGACAACAGGTTGGCAAGTTTAGACATTTTCGTTGAGACCAATCAAATCTCTCTCTTTTTTTTTTTTTTTTTTTTT